ATGCATTCAAAGATCTATTTGGAAAAACTGAAATTGTTTGGGGTTGTACTTCACGTTGTATCGCCGAATTCATTTTGGTTTGTCAAATATTGCAAAACCGTGACCACCCAAGTGCGTTCACGGTTCACCTTGTCATCCAAAGTCCATCTAATGGGGCATCTATTCCCCGAGAACGTCGACTGGAGTGCCAACGGCATTCCTTTACCCTCAGAGCGCGCAGTGTGCAAAATCTCCTACTAGATCAAGTTGTTTCTACGCACAAAATTTTCTTCCAAGCAAAGATTGGGTGAATGATTGATATTTCTTAAAGTTCGACCCCTAGTGAAACTGCAATATTCTTCATCTCTCTTTGTTCGGTCAATCGATTCATATGCATCCAAAAATTCAATGAGATAGGAAAATCATCATTCCCCGTTAAACTATAACTTCCACTCATTTGGCAAATTATACGTCTGAACCACTAGGGGTTATGTTCCAACATATATTTGTCTATGCATCACTCTCACAATCGTAGAATCAACGTGTTATTTCAACAATTTGCAAGTAAATGCCGATATCAATATTTGTGTCTTATTGATAGGGCTTCGCTGAGTGTGTTCTGGAATGCTGGCTATTCATTGCATTGTATTCCTGTATTCCCGGTTCTGACATCGTCTGCAAACAGTATTATTTTGCAACCAAAACATTCAATAAATAGTTTATAAGTATAAGAAATAATCTGGAACAAAGAACAAATCCTTGTGGAACACGGGGTTCAACGTTGAGAGAGCTGGACAGTGAATTAGAAACACGAGCTGATACGGTCCGCTTTTTTCGAGAGAAACGTTTCAATTCAATCAGGCGTCAGATCGCAAGAGCAGTGATTGCAAAGCTTATGTTGCAGTATCTGGTGGCTTATTCGATCGAATGCTTTCAAACAATACAAACAAAACGACTTCACTGTTGACGAATCCCAAACAAGACGAAACAGCTATCCAGTGTTCTTTGTCGGTTATCACAAACATCTCCATCGCATGTAAATGCATTCAACTTGTGGGGAATTAACGATCTCCCAAGGAGTAAAACCCGCACCCAAGACCATCAAGAGTGCCTGATGCCTCTTAACATTCGAATGGGCTGATCGAAAAATGTGATA